TTCTCGTTATTGTACGTTGGGTAATTTGACCTTCCCTTAAGTTTAATACTGAATTTTCAGTTGATAAAACCGCCTGAAAATGAAATTATTATAGACTCGTAAAACTGTGATATTTTAACTTCCTGGCCTTTTGCAATTTTTTTTTTGCAAATATGTTGAAGTCGAAAAACTTTTTTTTGTCTGAGCCATTGGGTTCCGATCCCTCTATCTTTATTTGATTTTGAGGATGGTCCAAAATTGTTAGCGTACTTGACTGTTTTCGATCTCGGTTAAGAATTAAATCCGTGTTCATGCATTTTGGCATATCCTTTTGGGTGTCATAAAGAACCGCTATTCATTGTAGTACATTTGTAGGATAATATTCGTAATCTAATTTTTTAGTAATATTAAACAAAGTTTACTGCTCAGATTAAAACATTTTAGGTAAACTTCACAAAATTTTAAGCGTTATAAAAGCTTCAAAGAAAATAATGTTTTCAAGCACGAAGAAACGGGTTTATTTTATTTCTATGTTTTCAAACGTTTGGCCTATTACACCTTTGTTTATATCTACTTTTGATTCTCTGGAATTTTTTAGTACGATAGGCATTGACTTAATTTCATTCCTACAATAAGTGCTTTTTGCATTAATGCCTTTTTGTTCTAAGGACTTATCAATTCTAAACGATGTTCCTGCTTTGAAAACTAAGCCTGCTGGAGAAATTGAAATTACGCGGGATGATTTTGGTGCAATAGTTATATTTTTATCGAGAAGTACATTTTGATAAAAGCTTAGATATGGATAACTTTTGCTTCTTATAATAATGATAGGAACTGTTATATCTGGGTATTTTTTTTAATTCTAAGTTTAAATTTGGAAGGTTTATTTATTTAATGTTGTGAGAAATGAAATCCATTCCTAATATATTTAGATAGCATCCGTTCTCAGCTGAAATCCATGCTTTGATTTTTGCCGGATTATCAGTGTTTGTACCAAAAGTTGAGTCAAAATTGGTATAACCTATAAGTTTAAGCTTTTCTCCGTTAACAGCAATTGTGTTTGATCTAGATTTATTCAGCTGTAGAGGCTGTATTTTACAATATTGTTCATAACTGTCAAAATTAATAAGTGAATATGTTGCTCCAGTGTCTAGTAGAAATTGGGTTTCCAGACCGTTATTTTTATTTTTGTCTCCGACGGGATGTTGGTATAAGTTAATGTATAATTGTATTTTTGGTTCGGACGGAGACTGATCTAGTTTAAATTAACAAGTTCACACTCATTATCGGTATAGTCTCCTGGAATGTCATCATCGCTAAAATTGTGGATCTGGTAAGGTGAATGATAATGGTTATTTTCGTTGAAGGGTTTTTTACTGTTTGACCTGTCACGCGATTGAGAACTTTCCTTGAAGTTTGACAAATGCCTGAATTCTTGTTGGGGGCTTATATCATTGAAATTGTTGTCTACTCTTGACCTACTCTTGCTATAGTTATGGTAACTTCTGTTTGAATTCTCTCTTAATTGAAGCGAGTCATAATTTTGCTCCTGTTGATCGTTATATTTGAAGCAATGTCTAATCGTATGGCCTGACATGCAGCACCAATTGCAAAACATTGGGTTGTTTTGTTTGTTTCTATGCTCATGTGGATTATAAGCTGCGTTTATTTTATGATCTTTCATTAGTCCTGTTAACTCCTTAAGCTGATCCTTTATTCCTTCTATCTCCAACTTATTATCAACACTACTTGAGGCTGTTCCAGTAAACTCACTACTTACTGCAAAACTTAAATCTTTTGTTGCAATATGATCTTTTAATTGTTGCCATGTTGCGGTTGGATTCTCAATTAGGAATTGATGAGCCTTTTGTTTCAAGCCTGGCGGGCTTAAGCCGCGTACAAAGAATTCCATTTTCTTTGCTGTTCTTTGATCATCATTAAAAGTTGGATTAGGCCATCCACGGTCTACTGCGGTGCTTAATCTATGTATGTAGCTTTTAATGAATTCATCAGGTTGTCTTTTTATGTTTTCTGCTTCTATTCGTCTCCTATACTTATCTTTATCATCAGTGAATCTATCTATGAATTGATCTCTTATATCATTCCAAGGTAAGTTTGCTGCTAATCCCTGATACCATTGAGCGGCTGGACCTCTTAATATTGAACCAAATAAGGCTCTTTGTCTGTTATCATATGCGTCTTGTTCGTCACCTGCATCTCCTGGTCTAGTGCCTAGGGAAAATGCTCTCTTTTTCTCTACTATATCAAGAAAATCTCTTGCATCTTCATTCGGATCTAAGCCGGTAAACTTTTCGAGAGCTAAATCTGGGTATGCTACTACATTTGCCATCTTTGTTTAGTTCACTTAATGTTTTGTTAACAATATATAGAGGGTTTGGATGTGTTGTGTACTGATCAATTGTTCGGACTGAAATAATTGTATTTAAGTTACAATGAAGTTTGCTGAGTTCAATGATTACGAATTTTTGTTACATAGATCAATTGTGCTATGGGGCTGATTAAGCTTTTTTAAGATAGAAGTTATCTCTGGGGTATTGCTGCTGGAAAGAATGGTTGTGGGTGTTTGGACAAAATTGTGATTTGATCTTTTTGGATATTGGTGATATAACAAATAAGTTTTGTGGATTTATTGATTAATTTTAGTTTTAAATTAAATGCTGTTGTATTTACTTATAAAAGTTGATCATAGCATTTTACATCCTTTTAGGGACATAAATATTTATCTAGGGAATGATAACCAATATAAAAAATATTTAAATTTTTCTTATGAACTTGTTATGATTTTTAATTTTTGTTAAGGAAAAATTTGTGTTTTTAATAAAAAATGATTAAAATGCAAGTAGTTTTGTGCTTTGGTATATTATGATATCAAAAAGCAATCGGGAGTGAAGCAATTAATCGCTCTTCCGGTATACAAATTATGTTGTTTGGTATTTTTATTTGCTGAAGAATTGTGTCAATTTCTGGAGTATATCGACGAAAGAAGACGTATAATTCGTGTTTATCTTCGTTAGGGTGTTTTGCTAGTATACTAATGTGATTTTTTTCAGTGTTAGTGATATACCATATGATGTTAGAGACTTTATTTCCCAATTTGAGCTTTAAATTTATTGTACTGACGTCAATTTTAAAATGTGTTGACATTAATTTCACGATGTTTGTTTTCTTTTTCTTAAGCCAAGTTGTACTATTTGATTAGTATGTCTTAGAGTAATGAAAACCTCTTAGGAATTATTGAATATTAACAAAGGTTATTAATAATAAGATAAGGAAATTTAAAAAATTTCTTTGGAAAAAAAAATTTTTTAAAATTTTTTCTAAGTTTTTCAAGTTTTTTATTCGCTGAAACCTTAACTGAAACCTGAAACTTTGTTCAAGTGAAGTTTTATTGATGCTATGGTATGGTTAACAATATAACTATATGCCTTTAATGGTTATTATTGGTTCAAACTTAACTTTTTTGTTTAAAATTTATAGAAAATTTTTTTGACTGAAACGATAATCTGAAACCTGAAACTATGGTAGCTGAAGTTGAGTTTTTTTTTTATCTTAAAATTTTCTTTACGCTTTATTATATCTGGTTTTTGCTTTATCTTGCAAAAAAATTCGAGAAAACCGAATCTTTTGATATCTTAAACTTAGTTTTTGAAAACTCAAACCTGAAACTCTTAAACTCTCTCAAACTCGGTGCATGAAAATAAAAAGTTGGTTTTTGATAGCTGGTCTAGTGTAAATTGGAATTTTGAACAGGTTTGTAACTTCAAAATCAAAAATTTGTTTGCGGAAACCTAAATTTTTGCGGCTGAAACTATGATTTCTAGAACTGAAACTATGGTTTGACCACTTGGTTTTAGAGTTTTGAGATTGAAAATTTAGGTTGGTCTCTCTAATATATTTCTATTCCAGCAATAAAATTGCCAAAAAGATGAAAATTTTAGCTTAAAACGACGATTTTATTTTTCTGAAACTATATGTTTGAGGGCTCAAACTAACACCTTCTAGAAGTTTTTTGAGTTTAAAAATTTGTTAGTGCATTAAAGATTCTTATTATCTTTCAATATTTCACAAAAATTTTTCTCGGGAAGCAAGATTTTTGGTTCTGAAACCAAAAACACCAATTCTGAAACGTACGTTTCAGCCTTAGGAACCAAAATTTAAAATTGGTTTGGTGGGTTTTAACACCGTTAGTTTTCTTTAGAAAGTCAAAATTCGGCGTTCGGAGCTCATTTTTGAGACCAAAAACTCAATTTTTGTGTTCTGAAACCTGAAACTAACAAAAACGTACCATTTAAGACCAGATTTTTGACTTATGGTATCCAAATTTGGGTTTGACTAGTTCAACTTTTGCTGTTTCACCCGAATCCGTTTACAGAAACTTGAAATTTTGACCGGAAACTATACTTATTTTAACTGAAACGTTTGGACCTATAACTGAAACTTAGACTGAAACCAAAAATTTTGGCTGGTAAAAATCAATTTTTTAGTGCTTATGCTATCATATGAAACCTATTTTATCAATATAAAGTGGATGTGTCAGTGTTTTAAACTTAGTTTTTGTTGTGAAACCTGATATTTTTGTGCTGAAACTAAAACTTGGTGTTTGGTGTTATGTGGTTAACGTTTAAGATTGGTTTTAGTGCGTAATCTTATTCTTAATTAGGTGTATATTTAAACTGTGTCAAAAAAACTAATGATTTATCAAAAAACACTCAAATCCGTTCCTTCCTTTTTGGTTTTTGTGATTTTCTTCCTTAGTTTCAGTAATTGGTAGCTTTACTGATGGATGATTTAGGTTTAAGTTACGTTAAGGTGGTTAGAATTAAAATGAGTTTAAGAAAGTTTGAGGATAAGCCTCGAGAATTGATGAAGGATTAGGATAAATAGCAACAACCGTGGATGGTTTGAGATAATGTGATGAAGAATTCGATTTATCATACAATTTAGGGTACTCTTAGATCGCGCATATGACCACTTAACCCCCTCGAAAAAATAAATGAAGATATTTAATAAGTTTTTGAGCACTTTAGTTTAATACAGAATTTCGTTAATTTTAGTGATGATAACTTTAAACTGAAGTTTCGGCAAAACTTTAGTGGATTACTGGACAAAACGGGTATATCTTACTAGCGGACTTAGGCAGAGAACGATTCTTTCAGAAATTTTATATATTATTATAATAATAGATAATAGTTAAGTTCATGAGCTAATGTCAGTTAGAAAGCCGTCTAATAGACCTCGAGATGGAGGGATATCGTGGGCGACTGCTAGCGCAGGGGATGCATTTCGCAAGAACCCTACCAGGAATATCTGTCAAGTAGAAGACAATGAAATTGTGTTTCTATCGAAAGATACCCATTGTCTCTGGCTTTTTGAGGTTGAAA